TAATCTTCAATGTGGAGGTGATGGTGTTGCGGAGCTTGGTGTTAGTAATATTTTTGTCGACAGAGGCGGAGCTAGAAACCAATCCATGACTGCTATGAGAATATTTAGCTACCAATAGTCAAGAAATAGTTACTGATTTATATGCATTTTCTCATGTTACACCTTCAACTAACAGTCAAGCCTTCACAGGAGCAGCCTAAACGAACAGCTAGAACATGTGCACAAAGCAATTTTTACATTTTTGGTTGAAATGATTTCAATATAATAAAAATAAATCATGGTCGAATATGTACATGATAAACATCACCTCTCTTTGGAGAAAAACACAAACGAGTCTATAAATTACTATTTTTCTGTTCCAAGAATTAAGTACTAAAATCTCTGTAACATTCATGGAACCGTATCTGTCAATACAAGAAGCAATTAAGTAAACAACGACCCACCGAGTCTGAATGAGAAAGAAACCAACTTTTCTAATTATTTACATTCAAAAACTAAAAAAAAAAAAAAAAAAAAAAAAAAAAATNTAATATTTGAGAGTTGATGTTAGGTAAACTGAATGATTCAAACCGGGGTTCAGTTAAGTCCACTATTTCATCCTCTGTCGCATCCCACTTTTTCGACCTTGAGGTAAGCATCAATATTTCCATATCAGTGGAAGGATTATTTGCTTCTCTCTCACTCTCGTTGACACAGAGATTAGTAATGACGTTGGGAGGCAGTGAGGATCGAGCTGGTTGTTCCGATGTAATTTGCTTGATTTCCTCAATTGCAATGGGCTGAAGAAGTTCTTCATCGTACTTATCAGAGTTTCCAATTTCTGTGGCATCGATGGATGAATACTGTACGTGACAGAAATGACAAAAAAATTTGTTAACTTACAATAGCCAAAATACTTGACTGCATTATTATAGAAATATTGCTTGGCAAACCATGAGCCTTAAAAAGATAGAAATAGTGATTATGGAAATTCTAGCATAAGGGTACACATATATTGAGGTCGAGCCACTTCTGACGCTGGATTGCAGAGACTGCCTTCCTGCGAGTCTAACACGAACCATATAATATTATAGTCAGCTAAAGATAGTAATTATGTGGCCAATCAAATGCACGAGTCCTAACGTCCATGCACTTTGATATGAAGTCTACAAAAATTCTCGGTTGCAATAGGGTTAACAAGCTTCTTGCAATTGAAGCAATGGATGCCAAAATGGTGAAAGTGGCATTTTGGACAGACTGGAGACAAGTTATCTGCTTGTCTCCAGAGTCTCAGAAAGTGATCTGAAAATTTTCCAAGCATTTGAAGAGGATCTTGGATTATCATCTGCAGATATTACATTTTTTCCTTATTATATTTCATCAATTCATTTCCATGCATGATAGAAGGAAATAACATAATTTCCCGATCATGGAATGAATTCCGGTCATTTTGAGCCATCTCAGATCGTCATTTTCTAGATGTGAAAAGAATGGGAAAGCTTGGATGAATTTCATCCACAGCCCTATAAGTTTCCACCATGACTTAACAAATCAAATGCTATTGGTGCAGGGTTAAAACTTACAGCACGTTAATGAGAAAAAGAAGATTAATGCATAACACAAACATGGAGTTACGACTCACATGATAGACACATGATAAGCATCAAAGAGTTGTAGTGGCATGCCAACGATTACCTTAAAAGAATGAAGTTGCAAGCTTTTTCTTTTAGATTTCTCTGGTGCAACAGCTGAAAGAATTTGGACAACCTCACTCATGGTTGGTCGAGAATCAGGATCCAATAATAAGCACTCCTTGGCTAAGTAAGCCATTACTTGCATCTCATCTTCTGGGAAAGTCCCTTTGAGACGTGGGTCCAGCAACTCAGAAATCACTCGCCTACTGTCATGCAAACGCGGTGTTGCCTGCAGAAACAGTAAAGGCACACAATTAACATTACAAATCACAATAAAGATTGAGAGTACAAGAAAACAACTTCAAAATGTTCATTCAAATAAGAGTATGGGATTGAAGATACAATTTAAAGTTCAAAAATGGTGACTTCCACTTCGAAGAAATAAAACAGAGCCAGCCAGTGGAAGGATTTTCTTGCCAAAGGACTAAGAAACTGATTATCCATACCCATATTACGAGACTTTGTTCGCCTTTGTTTTCAGACTTGTGGATGGGATGCCGACCAGTGATGAGTTCGAGAAGAACCACACCAAAACTGAATACATCAGACTTCAAGGAAGCTTTTCCAACTATTGCGTACTCTGGTGCAAAGTAACCAAAAGTGCCTTGCATTCTGGCTGGAGAACTGGAACAACTTTGAATCCCGTCATTATTCAGGTGTTTAGCCATGCCAAGATCAGTAATCTGCATGATCAATATTGAATAAGTCATCTTTGTCGTCTGATTCACAAAGTTTTACTCATAACTAATGATTTTTTATTTTTTACTTACCTTGGCTTTCCAATTCTCATCCAAAAGAATATTAGTGGATTTAACGTCTCTGTGCAAAATTCTTGGTGCAGCTGCTTCATGAAGATATTCCAAGCCACGCGCTGCTCCAAGAGCTATTGAAATACGAGTGCTCCAGTCCAGAAATTGCCCTGAATCCCCATCTAAACACTCCCTGAGATTACCGTTAGGCACGTAGTCAAACACTAGCAGCCTCTCAGCATGCTTTCCCTGATGATCTGAGCAATATCCAAGCAAAGGCACCACATGACAATGATGAAGTCTTGATATCAATTCTATCTGAGCACAAGAAGCAATGATGTATCAACATTATAATGCGTGAGGTTCTATATGTGTAAGAAAGCCTGTTGTGTTCAATCACGTACAGAATAGCTGTTTGTGGCAGATCAGTTGTACCTCAGTTAAGAAAACATATTCTGCATCTGGCCCCGCCTTAGTTTTTATTCGCTTAATTGCAACGATTCTTCCATTTTTGAGATGACCAATGTAGACATGGCTGCTTCCTCCAACTCCAATCACATTAGCTTCAGAGAAATTGTTTGTTGCACTTTCCAATTCAGAATATGAGAACTGTATAATCGTTCCGTGTATTGCTCCAGCTTTGCTTCTGAATTGGAAGGATGTATTCGGAATGCATCCTTTAGGACAACAGAAAGAGAAAGAGAAAATATCAAAAGAGACTTCGATAAACAACCATCAAGTCTGATTTATTTGAATAATTGCACAAATTTAATTGAAGAGCAGAAAAAGTTATCATCTGAACTTCAAAACACAAGTTAGTCAAACACTTCAATGCATGTTTGGCACACTACTGGATTCTAATGAAGATGACTTTATCTTCTTTTCTTCATTAATACTATATAGTGCTATCTAATCCTCCGACCAAATATGCACATAGGATAAATTGATAAAATAAGAGAGAGAGAGATTTAAAATCCCTAAAGGGTACAAGAACACATCAAAATATGAAAATTATGGAAGTTTACCTATGAAGGGTTTCATGGATGAACCTACACGACCTTTACATTCAGCCATTGAAGAAGTCCCCTGGTTTATCAAGTTGGTACCACTGCCGCAGCTTGTTTGTCCATCCGATGAGAATAGAGGCAATTGAACGGGATGTTTATCCTTTCGATAGATATGCCATAACATTGTAGCAATGAATGCAATAGTTATGAATGCTGCACAGAGTAAGAGAACTATCACAACAACTTTGCTCAAGATCTGCTCCTTCCAATGCTTCTTTGCACTTAAAGTCCCTATTATGACACAATAAACAGTACATAATAATATCTCAGTCTTGCAGTTGCACAAGCCCAGAAATAAGGAAAATGAGGAATTCAACAATTTAAGCAAAATGTTACATTGACGTCCAGGAAAAAGTACTTTTCAGATTCTTGACAGAAGAATATTCATAATTGCATACAACACACAGTTGGCTACGGAAAGTTTATTTGTCTCAAAGCTGCTAATTCCAAATAAATTGGTAATTGTCAATTCCTAGTAATCTATGAAGCCTCGAAACAAGTACCAGAGTTGCAATCGCATGACGTAAAACAGCCACTATTACTATCTTCCCCTACCACTCTAGGCAACCTATCAGCAGCACAAGTACATGTCCATCTGCTTTCACTTGATCCTCCTGCATCTACAGATCATACAAACAGTAAGCAAAATTATGTTTTCTTGAAATATGAAGAATGAGACACTAGTGAATTATATACAGGAGTTTTAGAATGAACTAACGAGAAATGAATCAAATCATCTCATGAACTGATTGGGGAAGATCGATATACATAAATATTTCAAAGAGCAAAATGCATGAAATCTTAGTAAATGCACTATTCATTGTTTTTATGGTGAAGAAATAAAACTATTACTATCAGCAAGAGCTTGTGTTAAAAGGATGTAGTCTAGATTGCAATCTGAGATTCCAATAAAGGAAAAATTCAAATATAAATATGCTTCTTTAATTATTAATTTACATTCTTTGCTACTGAAGGAAGACAGTAAGCAGATGTATGAAAGTAGAAAACCTTATAATGTATAATTAGTTTTTGTAGACTTGACTATTAAAACTTCTAGAGTCATAGGAGTCAGTGTATAGTAGTTTTTCTTGCAAATAACAAGTATCCTAAATCTTTGTCTGAATCTAAATCTTTTTCTCCTTGGTTCTAAAATTAATAGCAGCTGAGACTTCATTGTAGAATGACTAGCTTCATCTAGAGCACATGAATACCTAGTAAGATAAGTTAAGATATTGGTGGATAATGGAAATTTTTACAGATTGAGTGAATTTGTTAGACAAAAATATAGCAATAACAATCTGAATTGGTGAGAGAGTTATAGGATAAATAATACCAGGCCTGCAATCACAGGATGACGAGCAGTTTGCTAGGACAAAGTTCATATTCGCTTGTTGTGCAATAGAACAAGTGCAAGTCCACTTGTTTTTTTCAGACGTCCTTGAAGTTTCATCTGCCAAATGGTAAACCAACAATAAGCAAATTTCGTTATTCAAAACCTCTGGAAAATGTATCTTTGATATGTTGTATCGAACAAGACTGAATAGCATAACGAACAAGATTTTTAGATTATTTTCGCAGTGCTATCTAATCCTCCTTACCAAACATTCCATAACAGGGCCTCGTTGGGGATGTTAAACCAAAAGAGAATGAAATGGGCTTTGATAGAGGGTTTAGGAGGAATGCAGAGTTCTACTAACCGCAAAGGGTATGCTGAATCCAGACTACGGCTATGATGAAAAGAAGCGCCAGTTCCACTTGGAGTGTCATGTGTTCAAGTCCAACCTAAAATGAAACCACAAATACACATCCAAATTCAGAATGATGATATCTTACTGGTTTCATTTCGCATAATGGGCACGATAAATATTTTGAACTCTTTAAAAGGAATCGTAAAAGAACACGAAATTAACAATATCCCGAGCATGTTTCTACCAGAAGACCTTTCCTCCAATTTCCAAAGTAGAAAAGAGAACTTACATTCATTTGGGACACTTGGAGCCAGCATCAATATCTTACTTTATGGTGTTCATAGAGCTGATCTTCCTCGTTCCAGAAAATTGAGTCCGATAACTTTCTCTGCAGGAAATTCCTATTCATGCGTAAGAAGCGCAATTGTTACCAAGATATTTACCAAATGTGTTTTCAAGTTCACAACTATTCAAGATACTTGCATAAGCTATTGCACGTTAAGGCAATGCCACAATGCTCGGTCAAGGACTATTCTCACTTTGAACAACTGGCTATAAACCAGAGTTCTTGTAGTAAATTCGAATCCAAGAAAGGGAGTAACATTACTTCCAAGAAACATATATAAACATTCCATAAATTTGAGACAAAAAAATTCCGAAGTTACTGAAGAGACCTGAAATTGAATCAGACCGTACACGAAGAATAATCAAAACCATAAGCTTTTATGACACGTTACTGTCATGTGATTTTTTTTATCGATCCAATGTCTTGATCAAGTAAGAGAAACCAAAAAACACATTATCATCCCAGCTTTATTTTTCAGACTTGAAGAATTAAACACCAGGTGAAAGCTAATGCTCACCCAAAAATTATAATTATCAAGATAAAGGCTGACCCCTCAAGAAATCTCGAAAAATAGGCCAAAAAGGAACTGCAAAATCGACATCTGACAGCAAAATAGATAAGAAAAACTGATAAAGACTCGTGGGTTATGAATTATGATGTGAATCCAAAAAAAAAAAAAAAAAAAAAAAAAAAAAAAAAAAAAAGACCCTCAAAAAAAAAAAAAAAAAAAAAAAAAAGATAAACCAAGGACCATCAACCAAGCTTTCTGAAAGGTACCGCTTTTCAAACCCGAAAGGGACCCCTGAACAATCAAAATAGATACTAACTCAATTAAATACAGTGCAGAGAAGAGTATTTATGTAGATTATACTATCTAATATTGGTTATTAAATCATTGATTCTTTTATATTCAATTATTCTTTCATGTCTACGATTGAAAATGGCAAGTATTTCAAATTTTGGAATGGTCCAATGTACGTACATACATCTCAACGGTTAAAAAATACTTTGCTTCTAAGACATATGTAGAAAGTTGTTTAGCAGAACGGTAGACTTTTGTTTTTCAAGGGTCCCACTAGATTATGTGTGGGAAAAGAGATTCTTGTTTTTCTCGAAGAAGGGTCATCAGTCGGTCGATTGAAAAATTTAATATTTCTTCTTCTTCTTTTGCTGGGAAATTCCATTAGGAGCTAAGCAATCAACCGACCTTTAACTATGTCGTTAATTTGAAGTAGAGACTGCAAAACTGATGTTTAAAATTAAATATCTAACTGGTGCTTTCCAAAAGATGTCCCAAAACATTGATAGTCACTTTACATCGAAAGCTAAAAAATTAAAATTCACTACTTAATTTCTGATTGAAAATGGCAAGTATTTAAAATTTTGGAAGGTCCAATGTACGTACATACATCTCAACGTTAAAAAATACTTTGCTTCTAAGACATATGTAGAAAGTTGTTTAGCAGAACGGTAGACTTTTGTTTTTCAAGGGTCCCACTAGATTATGCGTGGTAAAAAGACATTCTTGTTTCTCTCGAAGAAGGGTCATCAGTCGGTTGATTGAAAAATTGAATATTTCTTCTTCTTTTGCTGGGAAATTCCATTAGGAGCTAAGCAATCAACCCACCTTTAACTATGTCGTTAATTTGAAGTAGAGACTGCAAAACTGATGTTTAAAATTAAATATCTAGCTGGTGCTTTCCAAAAGATGTCCCAAAACATTGATAGTCACTTTACATCGAAAGCTAAAAAATTAAAATTCACTACTTAATTTCTTTCAAAATTTCAATACTTTCTTCAACATCGGTGCATTAATGTTAAAAAAATTAAATTGGTGACCGTTTAGTACATTTATAACAAATAATATCCATTTTTCTGTTTCTTATTTCCGAAGAAAATCACCAGTTGATTTTCATATAATACTATCTATTCATCTCTATCAAATTGGGACATTGTCCCATTCCATTAGGAATTGGGTCGGAAATATATTTTAATCATCGTCACATCTCTATAATAACATTAACGAAGCAGGAATCAGTGGCATACCTTTGAAATAATAATGAACTAGAATGAATCACATTGACCTCCAATATTTACTTCTTTGATCTGTCTTTCTACAAATTAACAACATACACGCAACTGTATGTATCACTTCACACGGAGCAAAGCTCAATAAAAGTACTCGATGAGAAATTCTTCTAAAGAAGAAGAATAGAAGAGTCCATTTTTATGTTTCTTATTTCCGAAGAAAATCACCAGTTGATTTTCATATAATATTATCTATTCATCTCTATCAAATTGGGACATTGTCCCATTCCATTAGGAATTGGGCCGGAAATATAGTTTAATCATCGTCACATCTCTATAATAACATTAACGAAGCAGGAATCAGTGGCATACCTTTGAAATAATAATGAACTAGAATGAATCACATTGACCTCCAATATTTACTTCTTTGATCTGTCTTTCTACAAATTAACACATACACGCAACTGTATGTATCACTTCACATGGAGCAAAGCTCAATAAAAATACTTGATGAGAAATTCTTCTAAAGAAGAAGAATAGAAGAGAGAGAAATAGACGGGAGAGAGAGAGAGGGAGAGAGGGTGACAAGTAAAGAATTTGTCGCGCATATCTCCCAGTGACAAAGGGAAGGGCGGATAGGGCTCAGCGCGGTAATGTGCAGAGTTCGATTCCCCGCAAGGTGGAATTGACTTTGTTGCAAGCGGGAGTTACCATATGGGTTAACAGTCTTGGCCTATCCATATGCTCTCCACCCTGACTCCTGGAAGGCACATCTTGCGATTTATTTCCTCCACGATGACCTAGGAAAGAATCCATGGAGAGCCTTAAAGTTGGGGTTCAACCTTTTTTAAGTAAAGAATTTGTCAGCACAGAGACAAAAGATCAGCTAGAGAAAAGGGCTGTTCCCACGTGGACTTGCGTGGTCCCGAGGGTAAAAAACTTCAAACAGTCCTAAAATTTTAAGTACGTTTCAAATTGACCACTGAACTTCAATTTGTTTCATGGTTTGTTATCTTCCATTTCATGACAGAAGCTTGTTTGAAATTGTAAACAAAATAAAATCCATTGGGTATACATGTTGCTTCCTTGGTCATTGGCGAATTTAAGCGAGGGCAGTAGGGTCAATTGTCCCAAAAAGTAGGGGCAGAACTAGAAATTTCGTCCAATGCGGGCAAAATTTAATCAAGGTCGAACTTTCGATTATGAATTTAATGATATTATGACAATGCTAAAAATGGCATAGCAACACCATTAATAAGATGATCATCCTCTTCCTTATTCTAGGATTTGTAGCAAATTGTGCAATATCAAAATCCATTTTATTCGATATCTCCTCGTCAACATTTTCTAAGAAATATTTCTCTTTTAAAGAATCTCCCTATTAGCACTTCACACTAAAATAAACCTAAAGTGACAATTAAATACTAATTGATAAGAAAATAACTACTAATTTTTACAAATGGGTAGAATCATAACTAATTGTTTAACTAACTGATAGAAATCAAGATTTCAATAATCCATCCCAAATATCACCAATATTCAACATTCACATAATCATAATCTCTAATTTTAAAAAGAAGACTTTCCAATATTAAACAGAAAAATCACATAATCAAGAAAATTTTTGCTACAAATTTGAAGGCTCAAGGAAATATGGGTTTTAGGAAAGAAATGAATTTTGAAAATATTTCAAAACGAGGATAGATTAAAAGAAAATTTTTAGTGTGACACGATTGCTATTTTAATCGAGAATTAATAGTTGACAATCAATTAAGTATTGGCATCTTGTTATGTAAAGAGACCGTAGTCAATAATTTCACTATTTGGTATGAGTAATTTTGTCCAAATCGCATAATAGCATCTTCTGAGCAGTGATACTAGTGTACTTGCAGCATATTGAAACAATGCAACGTGTTGAAATATGATCTCAATGTTTAGCGCTCCATAAATTGTGTTTGTGATTTAATCACAAAAGTATAGGTGTTATCGGTATACGCATATACATAGAGATTAATTTCTTGTTTCTCTTCTTCAATATACATCTCCTATTTCTAGTTTTGGAGTTGAAGGCCTATTATTGACTAGTAGGAATTAAAATCAAATTTTTAGTAAATGTTATTTTTACCTGACCATTTTGAATCTTACGAGATTTTTGACTGAGGTTGTTCCAAAACTTAATGAGGGTGAAGGAGATGTTCAAGCAATCAGTGGGCTTGATGCAAGAAAACATTCGAATTTTTTGTGCCGAAACTATATCATAATAGCCTAGCAAATTCGTTATACGTGTATAGTACAATAAAAATTGCAAAGGACTTGTGGGAGTCTTTTGACAGAAAATATAAAGCTCAAGTTGTCGGGGGCCAAAAGGTTCATTGTCAGTAGATTCTTAAATTATAAATCAGCGGACTCAAAAACTGTAATCACTCAAATGCAAGAACTTCAAGTGATGTTTCATAAGATTCACGCCGAGGGGATGATCTTGAGTTAAACTTTCCAAATGGATACAGTAATTGAAAAGCTACCTTTGGTGTGAAAAAATTTCAAGAATTATCTTAATTACAAGAGAAAGGAAATGAACGTCGAAAAACTAACTATTAGACTTTGAATCTTGAGAAGTGGAAATTACAGGGAGGGCCGTGTTTGGAGACAACTTTTCAAAATTAACATTTAGAATTTTTTCCTTCAAAAATCAGATGATAATTCATCTGTTAAATATTAATTACTTAAGTTAAAATACACCCACGCACCGGCCCACACCTCACCCCAACCCCATTTTACCTCATGCCCTAATTTTATTTCACATATCTCTTCTCTATCTCCTCTCTTTATCCCCACTCCCTTTCTTTATCGGAATCCCCACTTTCTCTTTCTTCCCATCATCTATCTACCAATGACACCGCCATGTGGTTGACCTTATTTTTTTGACCAAATTTGCTGAATGTGGTGGGTTTTTTGTTCTCTGACCAGATTTGTCATGTAGATGGTGATGGTGTAGGTGGTGATATGGTGGTGGTGGTGGTGGTGCTGGAGGTTGTGGTATATTTAGGATTTAGGGTTTTAGGTATTAGGGTGAATTAGATTTTAGATCTAGAGTTTTGATGGTGGTGATGATTATGCAGGTGGGGATGGAGTGGTGGTTGCGGTGCTACTAGTCACATTTTAATTTTCATAGGTCACAAATACTAGGTCACATGTCACGTGTCAGATCATATAGTCACAAACCAGTATAAACGGGTTATGGATAAATTATAACTAGTCCAATCTATTCACAAATCAAATTTACATATTTTGTGTAATAATAACAAGTCACAAATTTAAATTTATAGGCCATAGTACATATCACATGTCATAGACAGAGGTTATCAAGTCACTGGTCATATTTCATAAGTAATAGATCAATATCAACTGGTAACAAACCCATTAGAATTGATTTCAAACCATTTGATTAATATCACTAGTAAATGTACAGTCACTAGTCAAAGATTCGATGACCACCACATAATTTAACAACATCCCACCATTATCATCATTTGCACAACACCAATAACCACAAGATAAAAAAATCACCCCAAAATTTTGGCAACATCGATGGGACAATCATCGACAATGTTGTCGACGTCAACTAAGGATGTGGAAAACAAGACAGGAATTCTCTACAATGACACTGTAGAACAATTTAAGGGATGTGACTCAGCTTGGTAGCGCGTTTGTTTTGGGTCATCGTCAGAGCCCCCGCCCCAACCCTTGCCCAAGGGGGGGGGGGGGGGGAGGGGGAAGAAAAAAAAAGAATTCAAGAGGCCTGGTCTCTCCCCTAAGACTTACAACCAAGAAAACGTGAATGAATGAAATAACACCCTTCCCATTACATTTATAGCCATCTCCCTCCCTTTGACTCAATTTTCTAATCTACCCTTCTTAACCAACTAATTGATCAGGTGCCCCATCTAGTTTGTTGCTAACCGCCTTTTCCCCTTTCTTCCTCCTCACGTATGTGAAGTTGACCGGGGGCCTTTCATTTCCGCCTATCCCAAAATCCACCTTGCCCTCAAGGTGGAACTCGGGAAACTGCTACTGGATGGTGTGGTACGGTTCCCATGTTGCTTCAAAGTCCGGTAAATTCTTCCAAACGTTTTGAAAAAATATAAATCAGTCCAATAAATTAAAAAAATTAAAAAATCATTTCTTTCTTCTCCTCTCCCCCTTCCTCCACTCCTCCTCCACCACCAAAACTCCACCCTCCGGCCACCTTGGGCACCAGACCAACATACCACCTTGAAACCCTCACTTCCCTCTTCGAAACCCACCCAAGCTCCGACCATAACTCCAATCGATTTGGCCGAAAATTGAAGCCAAAATTATACCTGAGAAATCAAACAGGGTTGAAATGGAGTTGATTTTCACGGTGGACTTCATTGCTAGAGTTCTGGAAAAGTTTAAGGTAAGGAGTGCCAAACCTGTGTTAACCTTCCTAGCACAAAACTTAGACTAGCCGGCAATCAGCAACACAGAACAGAAGAAGAGAGGAAAATTATGTGATGGTGCGAGTGCAGGTGATGTAGACTCCCGAAAGGCTACTTGGCGAAAGGTTATCTACAACAGAAGCTGAGTACACAGTGACGACCAAAGTTCCATTCAGTTGGCAAAGAACCAAGTCTTTCACGAGAACTAACCACGTGGACATTATACTCCATCTCATCCGAGAAATACTTACAGGAGTGTAGGTTAAGATCTGCAGACATTTTAATGAAGTCCCAATAGAGCAAATTGATGATGCTGCACATCTCATGTTATTCTAGTAAGCCTTATGAAATTTACGACAAACTTGTCCATACAGAAAGGAAAAAGAATTAAATGCTCTTCCTTTCGGGAATGACAGATTAGGGAAGTCCTCTTGATTGCAGTTTTTTTTAGACCTCTGGGAAAAGCATGAAAAAATGGAATTGAATGGTACGATCCATCAGTCACCCCAAAATGAAAAGAGTGATAATTATTGGGCGAAAAATCACTTGAAATATGGAAACAAGGATAGGATTTGATAAAATAATAGACTCATTAAAAGAATCAAATCACAGTACTTGCATATATAGAGTTCAAAAGTAACACAGTATCCCCACAATTACAAGGCTATACCCCCATGTGCTCTCAAAGAAAAAAAACTCACTTCTCTTTATACCCAAGTTACAATATCATTTCGACATATTCTTAAAACCTTTTTACCCCTCCCTATTGTTACTCATTTACATTTGAAGTTGAAACACACCCCTGAATTCAGAATCTTCTGTGAACCTTCTCAATTTTAAGTTGTCCAGGAAAAAGGAAAATAGAAATAAATAAGTATGCGACAAAATGATGTACTACTAGGTGGACCTTGGAGGAAATTTTGCATAGGCAAGCCTAGCAATCACCTTGGCTGTGGTCGTGCAGGGAAAGACTGCGTTGGCCTCGTTGGAGATCGAGGAGATGGACCCCCAAACAACATAGTCTGCGATTGGTTTACCATGTCAACCATGGAAGGAGTAAGATAAGCCTGGCTCATACTGTGCGTTGAATCACCGCGTGCAGTAGCTCTCTGCCAAGAATGTGAGCTCAACCCTGATAAAACATAAGCCCTTCCAGACGTTTCATAAACATGGAGGTTGGTCATTCTCTCTTGCATTTCCCGTAATTCAGCATCCAACAAGACACACAATCTGTCACCGGCTTGTGCTGATACAGTTTCTGATAATTTTCTACGACAATTCTCTAGGACAGACACAGCAGAAGCTAAATCACCACGTTCAGCAGCAACCCTAGCTTCTGCTATGGCTTCTGCAGATTGGAGCCTGTTCCGCTGCTTGTCCACTTCCATGGAAATTGCTATTGTTCCAGTTACGATTGGCCTTTGAATTTTGACGTCATTTGCAGCATTTAGAGTTACCAGAACTTTGGAAATGGGATCCTTGTAAATACATCTAATCTTTAGCAGTGACATCTCATCATTTGATCCATTGACTGGAATATCCAGTGTTACAAGAAAATCTCTTTCTTCTTCAGCATATAGATCTCCAACTTCAATAATGCCCTTTCTTTCATCCGATGCTAAGCTGTTCTTGTAGCTTCCTGATTTTATTGAACTGAGATGCAACATGGGGTTAATGCACTCAACTTCCACATGTAATTCCTGTACAACAACACTCAAAAGCCCCCCAATGCATTGTGCAAAAGCATCTTGAATTACACTCTCCGCCTCTATAAAAGAAAATGTCCCCCCCGAAGATTCTGAGATAGAATGCATTGAGACTGCATCATGATCTGCACCAAATCCAAATGCATGTACGGGAATGTGGAGACTTGAAGCATCATTCAGATGCATAGAAACTGGGAGTAGCGACGAATTAGCAGTACAAGTATTGCCGTCATTAGGCCTGATAACAGTATAAGTGTCTTGCCCATCAGAGAACAGTATAATACTGCTAACAGGATTTCTCCACTTGCGTTCGGTCATCACCTTTTCAGCCTTTCTAAGGCCCTGGGCAATGTTTGTCCCGCCACTCGCACTTAGAGAATTAACAGCGTGTAATGCTTCAAGCCTTCCATTGCCGGTCATTTTACAAAGAGGAAAGAGACGACGAGCAGTGGAGGAGAAGGCGATCACTGAAAGCCTGTCGGAAGGCCCTAGATTTTGAATCACAAACCCCATTGCTCGTTTAAGCAAAGCAAGCTTCGTACCTGCCATGCTGCCACTGACATCAAGCAAGGTCACAAGATCAACTGGAGCACGACAAGTGTGAGATGCTAATGGCAAGCCACCCTCACATATTCCAGAATGTTGTAATCCATAACTAACTGGAGCTTTGAGATGAATTAAAACAGTGAAATTACTATGGCACACTGATTTTGGAACAGCTGAAAATTCAGGGTACGTTTTAACCTCTATCAGTCCAGTAGAATGTCCAATAGTCAAGTCATTACTGGTTGAGGTTTTGTCAGTGACAGAAGGTTGGTCATTAGTAAGTTCATCATCGTCGAAGATGTCAGGTTCCGTAGTGTGAAAAATGGAAGAAAAGTGCCGATTGATGTCCACCCGTGGAGGGGGGAGTAGTCTTTGATCGGTCGTCCAAGCATCATTTTGAGGACAAGAAGCATGATTCCTTCTCACTCTCCCCTGAGATATATTGGTGGTAGGACTCTGAAAAGGGATTTCTTTCCAATTCACTCGGCAAACAGGACAACTTTGCTTTCCATGTTTTACATTAGAAGTAATACAATGGAAATGAAATGTGTGAGAGCATTCTGCAGTGAAAATGGCATGGCCATGGCCAGGTTTCATGGACGCCAAGCATATTGCACAGGTTTTCTGCAATCAAAGATAAGATCAAAATCAAATTACTCGCACAACATTCAAAGCCATAATATGAAGAGCTTAAGCTCATGTTTGGCACGAGTATTGAACAAGGCTCGTCATTATTATGAACAAGATTTTAGCTAATTCTTATACTATCCAGTAATGCCCAGTACTCTCTACCAAACATTCAATAAATGTAAACAAAAAGGCACATACATGTGCCAACATTGCCATGACTTGACCGTTACCACAATCCAAGACAAAGAGAAAAACAAAAAACCATCTGTCTACTGCTCCTATCTAATCAGTCCACACGTAAAATTTTCAACTAATTATGAGGTAGTTTTTCCAGCTATCCTAGGTTTCCAGCAAATTTAAGTGTAATATTGTGAGATAGATGAATACAGTGTTAAGGTGATCAATCTGCCATTACATTGAATAGAGTTCTGCTACCATCCGAGCACCTGGCGTAGACTATTATTAATCCTAGTATCAATAAATATACCACCAAACCTAGGGGTAAATTAATCAGGTAAAGTAAGACAAAAGATAACCTCAAATGATTGTAAACTTTAAAGGGCAATAAGCAAATTGTAAAAACCAATAATGAAGCTTTCGAGGCATTAAAAAGTCCGTAAAAATCACTTAAAGCAAATGTATCAAAAGAAGTAGAAATCATTAGCGACTATAAGGTCTCCATTCCTTTTTCAACCCTTGGCCTTACTTTTGATATTAAGTTATTGCATGAAAGTTGTGAAAAAATGGTCAAGTTGAAGACTGATATCATAAAAAGAGGTGAGGAAATAGCCAAAGGAGTATTTTCATGTGTGTAAAACAGTTGAGTTGCTGACCATGAAAAGCACTATCTTTCCTCTCCCAGATTGGGAAAGAGGGAAACAAAAGTTCACAGTTTGCTCCCCTTTCAGTCTTCTATAACAAGGCCAATGACTATTGTCCTCAAAAGGGACTCCACCACTTTATCCCCACCTCACACCGAAAACTACATCACAATGCATGATACCGCGTTTTCGGTCGTGTATGTACTCTACCGCAAAATGCAGAAAAATAGATAAGATTTTAGCTTATTTTTCTTCTTTAAGCCATTTGTTAGCGGAAATTAAAATCCAAAATTTTGGAGGCGTTTGGGAGTGATTTTTCACCCTAAAAAATTGATTTTTTGATTGTTATTTCACTATTCCAACCATAATATTTGACTTCTTCTCTCACAGGTAGCCCCCACATTTCTTCAAACGGTCGAAAAAACTATTCTCAAAATCTCTACGTAACAAGTCCTTAATCTAAGTCAAAGTTAACAATTAAATATAACCACACATTTTATGGAATTCACAACTTTTTTTGCCACACATTTCATCAACATTAAAATCTACTAGAAATTTAATTTTAATCCCAAATAAATAAAGGCTAATTCTAATCTGTTCAACTTATCAAATGTGTCATTATTGTTATCACCATTGTCACCATCCCTACAAATATCTACCCCACGTGACAAGGGGCACCCTATAAACAAATTCAGTCAACAACTCCGTCAGAAAACAACCATTCATTTATTCATTCAAAAAATAAGAATAAAAAATTCTTTACACTGTCACAAAAGTAAAAGAAATCTAACCAATATTGTGGTTCCATTAATCGATGCTTATTTGAGATTACCGGGGTCAATAAAATCCAGAATTAATGATAGAAACTAAAGAAAAAGTAATTTTTTTTCGGTAATTAATAGAAAAATAAGATGAGAAGAACAATATAGAAACTACAGAGAATTCCCTTTTTTTGTTTATAAAAGAAAAATGAAATATAATCATAAATTTACCATGAATGGAAAATGATTTTATGACAAACTCCTTAATAATAAGAATTTACCAGCATTTGAACATTAAAATGCAAAAACAAGCAATTAAGCATGCATTAGTATTTTTGTACCTTGGAAGATTTAGAGGAGTGTTTAGGCAAGAGGAGGCCGGAGGAAGATGGCGTCGGAGTGGTCGGCATTTGAACCCGGTCGTAATCAGAATTTCGCGGCGGAGTTGGAGACAAAGATACTGCATCCGAGAACCTCCTAGCTGAAGGCTGCGGCGGCGGGGGTGACGGTGATGCCACCACTGGCGCGTCCTCTATGGTTCTTGGGACATAAAGACACATATTTAGCTTCAATCCAAGAGCCATCTTCGCTTTACTCCATTTGCTACCTCCAACCATTTTTGCAGCTTTCACCACCTAAACCACAGTTCAAGAAGCACAAAACCTGTAGTTAAATATACAGATATATAGATACAGAAGCAGATATTCATGCATGTATATAGAACAGCATAACAGATCTCAAAGTCAACTTGTTCTTTGAGCCGTTTGTTTTGTTTTGTATTTTCAGTTTCTCTCTGTTCTTGGTTTGTGGGTTTTCTTTGAACACAAACACGGAAACCAATGGCTTTACGTCACAGCCATATCAATATTATTTTTATTATTACTACATGTATAATAATGACTAGTAATGGGTTTCAAGGGGTGTAGGTGGGGGTGGAGGAGGGGTAAAAATGGAAAGTTAGATAATGGAATTTATTTGTTGGGAATAGAAGCACGGGAGTTTTGACCTTTGAGGGTTAGACTTTGGATTTAACGTGTTTTGAAGTGGACAAAAGTTTTTGGTCATAGTTTACCAAATATAACTATTACAATTTTAGTCAAATTTTCAAGTTTCTAGTAATGACTAGTTAATAATATTTATTATTTTGATTTTTCTCATTTTTTCTTCTTTTATACGAAGTTATTGACATGAAATAGACGTAACAGAAAAATATTGATCGATAACCTTTAGAGAGCTCCAAAATGACTCACAACAAGCACAATAGCTTTCTTCAGTTTGCCATATATTCATATCGAGTTTTGATCGAGTCAAATATTTGAACAGCCTAATGTTCTTTAAATGTTTAACATCAGGCAGTGGCGGATGTAGCTATTGGCCAGCTAGGATGGACTGACTGGTTTGTTTTCAGATGACATTTTTTCTTGCTTGATTGTGCTGGCAGCTGTTGAGTCGACAATTTCAAATTTTTTGGCTTAAGCCTCATTTTTTTTTAAATCAGGCCCAAAAAGCCCAAATTTGCATTTTCCAATCCATTACCATATAATCGATTATTCGCTAAACTAAAGGCCTAAACATTACTAACCACTAAGTACTAACCAGTCCACTACCGCCAACTCCAAGCGCCAGCAAACTAGGGCAGACGCAATAACGCAGATTGCACTTCGCGTCTTCGCCGGTTCGCCCTTCGACGATGAAGAGGCAGCTCGTGGCAGCGGCAGCACCGCAGGTCCGCAGCAACTGAGCAACGAACACCGAACAAGCTAGTAGAGACAGTGAGTGGTGAGTAGTGAAGTTGGACAATTTTTCAATATTTGCTAATTGATATATATAGTCTATAGATAAATTAATAGATGGTTTAGAAATTGCTATTTCCTGAGGTTGGGTTTGGGTTTGGGCTTGGGCATTTACTGATTTACAGATTTACTTTATAAATTATAATATCAATTTGTGATTTGTGAAGATATAATATGGATGGATTGGGGATGGGCCGGATGGCATAAATAAATTATGAATTTTGTCATTTTTTGATGCTTATTTTTGTTCATTATTATTTATTAATTTATTAGTTGGGATTAAAAAGTCCAGTAAAATATTCTAATGATATAAACCATTGAAGTTTTTAGTTCAATCTCCATTAAGTAGTTTATTAATTCAATTTATTAGAAAAATAAAATTATTCATGCATATTTCACTAATTCAATCAATAAATGTTTTGTTCGGAATGAATGATTGAATTGATTCGAGGCTCATAAAGTCATAATTGAGATCCACACATCTTCTGTGATGATCTGAAATGAAATCATAGGCTATTAATTCGAGTTAAAAGAAAAGAAATAGGGAAAAATCAATATTGCAGCGTTTTCAAAATATGCGACTTCGTAGAATTCAGTTGTCTAAACTTACAACTACGGAGTAAGGTTGTATTGTTTATTTTTTTAGCATTTTGGGTTGTATTGAACTATATTTTCATATGTATATGATTTCTAAATTTTAGTTCATTTACATATATATTGAATAATTTTTAATATTATTTAATCTAATTTTAATAAACGATCGGCCGCCAATTGGATCAGGCCTTTACGATCGTTGATTGTCGACAGTCAACGGTCAAAGTCAACCTCCGCCCTAACTGAACATTGATGCTGGATTTGCCACTGATATCAAGTGTAATAAAAATCACATAAAAATATAATGTTGTAATTTGTGGTTGGTTATTTTGCAGCTTCAAAGTCAAAAGAGAAGGCCTTTTTTTTTTTTTTTTTTTTCCTTTTTGGTTGGGGGGGGGGGGGGATATTTTAAATTTCGTTTGAATTAACTAGGTTCCTGTTTGATTTTGTTAAAAAATCAAATTTTTATTACAATAAAATTGATAGAATGTGTGATTGAAGAATTGATAAAATTTATTGATCTCAAGAAATGTGTAATTAGAAACCAACTTATCAACATTTTAAGCTAAACCAAACAGTCCCATATCTCATATGCCATAATGAAAAACTAAATTATTGATAAAATCTGACTTTTAACAAAATTTAATTTCTCTTTTTTATGTCTAATTTTATTCGATAAGTGCTTATGAAAGTGATTATTTGAAAGCAATTTTTCTGAAGAATATATGGTTAAAAAAAAAAAATGTATGAAGATATGAGAGTATTTGAACTTTTAACCATTAGTGTGTGTGTATATATATATATACGCAATTTTTTGTGGTTGTAGATTACATCAATAAAAATCCGTTTTCTTCTATTTATTTCAAAACAAGAATTCAACAATCCCTTAATCAAAATCAAGGAAATATTCACAGTAAAATGGGTAGGAAGCGCAGATACACTTTCTCAAACCAAATTAAAGTTTTTCCTACCAAACTTATTAATGAATACAAATTAAATCCACATATATTAGGAAATTTTCAGAGCAAGTTTGATCATACTTGAGTAATAAAATAAAAATAAAAATGCCTATTCACCTCGTTGACTAACAAAATTTACTGAATAAAATGTAGATAATCTATTGTTTATAACTAATCTAGTAATACCCTTATTTTAAAGATAATGTATAGAATTCATACAAATAAATGAAATTAGATTGTCTTTATAGTGACGAACATTTGCAATATTAAGAAGCAATTAGTGAAGGATGATAAATCCTTCCGCGACACTATAAATGGTTTATCATAGTTAATTATTCGAGATGATTTCGACCAATTTATTTTCACAAGAACCTCGATCCTTTAATTTTTTGTTTTTTGTACCCCCCCCCCATTCAATTTGGCCCCAACATGATGCATGATGCTTCATTTTTACCTTTCCTTTTCAATTTTATGATGATCAAACAATAAAAAAACATTTTTATATTGAGATTTTAAATGTTGTTCATGCCAATCTTATTATTTTCACTTTTAGATCTAACTTCTCGACTCTACCCTTGTTCCTTCACAATCAATCTCAATATCGGATAAAAGCCAGCTATTATATTGTCTCTATACCGCCGTTAAAATGAGAACAAGTTGCATAGATGACTTTCTTTATTAAAAAATAATAATAATAACTTATTTTTGTAGAGTTATTCCTTATTTTACATTTTCATATATGTTGACGAGGGGTAATTTAAATAATTAACAAGTTCTCGTGACAAATGTGTTGGACCGTAGCTTTGAATATTACGGGACAAAGGCACCTTTCACACAAATATTGCAGCCACCAAGTGGGTCTAATGGTCCCCAAAGTATAGTGCTGTACACTCGCATCCCAATGGAATATATCAAGTTTTTAATATTTGAAATTATTAACCTTGATGATTTTATCGGAATAAACTCGATGTTAGCTATTTAAACTGGTAAGAAGGATAATTTGCTATTTAAAAAAAAAAAAAACAAGGAAATTTTTAATATGGGTATGCTATTAGAATATTATGCGCTCAAATATGGCGTACACAATTGCTTATAAGTAATAGAAATTACTTTCATGTTGATCAATTTTCCACTTTAGTCGAGCAATTTTCGATGTGTGGAGTTGTAGTTGATTATCGTAGTTAATATTTTCTGCTTGGGTTGATCAGGACTATTATTTGGTGTAAGTGATAGGTTGAATTAAAATTTGTTACATAAGTATTGATTAATTGCTTATGCCCAAACTTGGCCTGAAGGAGAGTTTTTCTTGGGGGGTTGATTTACGTGGCCTAAACAAGTCATCTATTTTTCTTTTGAGTTTTTAGTAAGTACAATTATGATGGAGTTGAGATAAATTGACCAATGAGATGTTTATTTTTTGAGATGGTTTTTTCATTAAGACGCAATTTATAAATTGGTTTATAAATTCAATTAAAAATTTAAAGTCAAACATTAATTTCAAATACATATTTATAATTACTACTTATTATTATTTACAAATTTCGTGGGACCTACCACTATTTCTCTTTATAAATTGATATGTAGATTGAATAAATCTATTTAAACAGGTTTAAAAATAGGGGAGTGAAGAGACAAATTGATGTATCAAAAAATAATTGGATGTTTTGTTTTAAATTTTCAAACTGTTTAATCATGCATCGACACGTGTCTCATTTGGATTTGAATCTGAATGTGTAGCATGATTGTTGTAGATTTGTCAAACGATAACTTGTGTATATTTGTGCAAGCAAGCTTGAATATTACCTCCTTCGTACATTTGTGTACTCGTGTAAAATAATTAGGGAATCTCTTTTTTGTCAACTCGTTTAAAATACAATAATATAAACATAACAAAACAAAGATTTATGAATGTAACCTCCAAGAAACTAAAAAACATTTCAAATATGAAATAACAATAATTGATTCTTTCCTATGAAAAAACTCACGACATGTGAATCTTTTACCTACACGGGATATTAATTTTTTCGAACTTTAGTCCATTGCGGAAAATTCCTAATATTGCCTTCAATAAGAATTTGGACCCTATCTCATTCTCTTTGTAAAGAGAATCATTATATTTGCTACAAAACAGAATACAATACAATACAACCAAAGACCAAATCTACACCAACCAACGTGAGTTTGTTGCTTTAGAAAACTCATTCTAGGTCAATCCTGCGACTTAGATGCAAGATAATTTATTTTGATAGTAATCATTGCTTCATTAATTTATATGTTATGGTTTAATGCAAGAATCAAATTAAAAATATGATTAGATCTAGAGCTCTAGTAGTTTGCACGGCTGTCTTAATTTGAGTTAAAAATTGTGCATATTCTTACATTGACGTTAGAAAAAGTCTATTTAACATAGCTTCTACTTCTACTTTTGAGTAGTAAAAGAAGAGAAGCAAAGCTTAGAGTTTTTGAATTAACGTTTGACATTAATTTTTAAAAGAGCTTTCTCTTCTATGTAAGGGTAA